TGCCTTGCATGCATGAGGCCCTGCGTTCAATTCCTCAGCACCACATAAGAAAAAAGCCGGAAGTGGTGCTGTGGCTCAAGTGGTAGAGCGCTAGCCTTGAGCTGAAGAGCTGAGGGACAGCGCCCAGGCCCCACGACCGGACCCCAAAAAAAAATAAAAATAAAAAAGAATTGGAGAGAAAATAAGAGGTCTATTTTTGGTCAGGTTGTAGTTGATATGCTCAGCATTAACTGAACTGGAAATGATTAAAGGGCAACCTGGATCCAAATCAGGAATTCTAGAAGTTCTCTTTCTTTGATGTCACCAAAGACTGAAAACAGCAAGAGGTAAATAGCTTTTAGAATGTACAAAATGAGTATTTGATAACAATCTAAAACAGTGAAACAAGCTGCTGGTCTTCATGAAACCATCTCCCTTATGAAATCTGAAGAATCATCTTTGCTGAGCATGATACTGAAAGAGTTATCTTAAAGGTCAATGAGATTCATGTCAAGGAAGTTAAGTGATATCATCACAGTTATGATTCCTAAATCTTAACAGATTACAGGGCAAGACCTAGTAAGACAAAATCAGAGCTCCTACTAAGAAAAAATTCCATCCTACAAGAAAGGAGTCTACTGTATACCCAATATAGGGAAAAAATATCTTCCAACTATATGTAAAATAATGAGCTGCCTGAAATTAATCAAGAATATTGTACAAACTGTGAGAAATATTTTAGAGTTGTCATACTGACAAATGAGATGAACTTACAGTAAAATTAAGACTAGAATTACAAAGTAGAATACACCATTAAATAGCACATTTCTGTAATTAGATTCTGGGTAGAGTCAAACTATATTTTATCGTAACAGATTTTCTTAATCAAATGGCTAATTTGAGATTAAGTATGAAAATAAAGGAATAATAAGCAAATATGTCTGTATATATAAGTCCTTACTCTTTAATAAATAAAAGCAATATTGAAACAGACATATATTTAGGAAAAATAAAAGCTAGAATGCTTTGAGCAGGTACCAGTATCAACTAGTCAAGATTTTTTAAAAATGTTGTTTAATCCTTACAAAAATTTCTCTGGTTGGATTTTATTACCTTCAATTTTATAGAGAAGTTAACTAAAATCTCAAAAAAAGATCCTAAGTAAGCCAGGTGCTGGTGGCTCATGCCTGTAATCCTAGGTACACAGGAAGCTGAGACATGAGGATAGTGGTTCAAAGCCAACCCAGGCTGGAAAGTCCTCTGTGAGACACTTATCTCCAATTACCCACCAGAACAACTGGAAGTAGATCTGTGACTAAAAGTACAAGTGTTAGCCTTGAACAGAAAAGCTCAATGTCCAGGCCCTGAGTTCAAGCCCCCTCCCCTCTCCGTCTGACAGAAAGATGCTAGGTAACTTGCTCAAGATCCAAATAGGTAGAAGAAAACAGAGCAAGAATTAGATTCTAGGAATAGCTGCATACCAATGGAATAGTAGTTAATTAGGGACTTAGTGCCACAATCTTTAACAGCCCAGATGCCTCTGACCTATGGTCATTTCAAGCCATAAGAACATGTTTGTTCATTAATATTAGTATGAAAACATAAGTCAATATTTAAGAAGAGCATCAGATGTGTAAAATTAAACTGATATACCCTTCAAATAAAATGCCTTAATAACTAATGAATGGAGAAGTACATAAAGAAAATGGAAGCAATCTGAGGTTCTATTTTCTTCTCCAAAATAATTACATTTCTTTTGTGTTGCTAAATTTTTTGATGAACTCATTGTTTGTACATTTTGCTCCAAAATTCCTTATCTGCCCCCGCCACCAACCTTCTTTCAAGAAAAAACTGGATAACAAGATCTCTCATTTACCAGTCAAAACAAATTATCTTAGACCACAGCATATACTGATATGTTAGTAGTTAGGCGTATAAATTAAGTATACCCACACAGAAAAAGGCAAGGTTCATGGTTAATTATAATAAAAAAAATAGAAACAATGAAGAAACAGGAAACAGAAACAAGCAAAAGGAATATAGAGAATCAAAACACATAAATTACCAGGAACATTACAAACTGATTTTCTAAAATCAAGATTCTGGCTTTCACTGAGTAGTTTCTTTCTAGTACCAGTAATAAGCTTAGCTATAATACCCAAGATATATTCTAAAATGCTTATTCAATTAAAACATGCAATGAAATCTTTTCCTTCAAATCATAATGTCTAAGAACTACACTAGGAGAAGGTAAATGATTTCCAATATAAATGTTGTATTCATAAGTTAGTAAGTTTACATCCAAACCACTTGAATTGTTTAACAGGTATGTTCTGTTTTTGTTCTTTTTTTTTTTAACATTTTTTTTACTTTTCTTTATGTTTTTGGACACTGTTACACCCCTCACACTCAAGAAGTTTTTAGTATTTCTTTGTACTCAATGAATTTTGGTGGGAGAAATCTCTCAAAAATGTAAATACTGATAGTTCTTAAATAATTCCTTAAAATGGATTATAATACAATCTTGCATTTTCTTATTTTATTTTCTTTGCATTCGATTTCAATTTAGTAAATGGAATCGTAAAAAGCTTTCTGTATGCTGCCATCATATACACAATAAGTAATGTTAATACATTAATTCTTGGATTTTGAAATTGCTAAGACTATATTAATGCATAAAAGGAAATCTTTAGCATTCCAATTTCCTCTGACTATTGAATTAGTTTGCTAGGCCTGTAAATTTTACTCTTACTTAGAAAGCCAAGTAAGTACTTACAAAAACACATAGTTCACAGGTATATCCCCTATAACTCTTTAAGTTCAAAGACGAAAATAAAAAATCAGGGCTGGGAAGGTGGCTCAGTGATAGAGCACTTGCCTTGCATGCATGAGGCCAGCACCACATAAGCAAAAAAAAAAAAAAGCCGGAAGTGGTGCTGTGGCTCAAGTAGTAGAGCTCTAGCCTTGAACTGAAGAGTTGAGGGACAGTGCCCAGGCCCAGAGTTCAGACCCCATGACCGGCGTATCCCCCCAAAAAATATTAATTAATTAATTTTAAAAAATCAACTGACATGTTTCATTTTCATTGTTTAAGTAAAAACTTATGTTTTCTCCTTCTGGATTAATCATCTTTAGTATGATTTCTTTCTCTAACTTTCCAAAACAAAACTTTAAGTATAAATGGAAATGAAAAGGGACCTTCTGAACGCCTATGGTAAACTGTAAAACAAAGTATTTCAGGTTAGTGGAAGTTAGTCTCACATTTACCTAGTAATAAATATTGAGTATTGCACTTAAGATAGATTAGAGACAAAGAAGCTTCTTGCCAAAAGGTTTCTCCCAGTGTCCAAAACAGCAGGTTTTTAAATGGCCCAAGGTACTTTACAGAAAAGGATCCTTAAAGGTTTCAGTCTTCATTTTAGCTATGTGAACATTTAACAAAACCTGTTTCTTAACATGAGGATGAATACATTTTCAGGCCTGTGTCCCTAATAAGAATCTCTATATGTTAATTCCTAGGACTCTAAACTACCTTGAAATTGCCTTCAAAATCTTGTGCATTCATGTGGGCAGCTCATTCCACTGCTTTCACATAGCTCTCTAATGCCACATCAACACAACAGTCTATTATTGTTCTAATATCTGCAGCACACGAAGCCATTGGGTAAGAGTGCAAATCACACAGCTTTTAAACAATAGTCTAAGAATTCGAGGCAAGTCATTTCTTGTCTATGAGAATGTCTATGAAATGATAATACCCACTTCATAGGGAATAAATAAGTGGGATGTTGACCCCAAACCCTAATTTATTGACGTTTTCTATACTACATATTTATTAGACAAATGAGAATGCCAGGCACTAAAAAACTATCTCTGCTCAAATAGCTTACAAGTGCCAGGGCAGGACACCCATCCTCTACCTTCTACCCTTCTCATATACCATACCACCAAAAAAAAAAAAACTATCTCTGCTCAAATAGCTTATAAGTGCCAGGGCAGGACACCCATCCTCTACCTTCTACCCTTCTCATATACCATATCACCAAAAAGAAAGAAAGAATGAAAGAATGAAAGAAAGAAAGAAAGAAAGAAAGAAAGAAAGAAAGAAAGAAAGAAAGAAAGAAAGAAAGAAAGAAAAGGCAGGACACATGCAAAATGTAATGGAAATCATGCTAACATTAGCTAAAATGGCATTCCAGTTTGGACCTACAAGAGTGAATAAAAATAAAGTAGTATCACACAGTGATTTCAACCTTCAGAATCAAAAGTATTTGAAATTACCAATTGACCCTTTTGGGGGTCTACATACTTACCAGACCTTAAGAAAGCAGGCAGAGGGGAGACGGCTGCATCAGGTGACTTGGCCATTTCAAATTGTTGAGTCTAATCATAAGCATCACAGGTTAAACTACAGCAATTTTAAAATTGTTTAGTGAAGGTTAGAAGCAATCAGCATTAGATTAATTGAAAGCAGCAAGAGCAGTTATTAACATGATGCAATATGCAACAAAAATAATTGAGGATAATTATGTAATTTAATTTTCTTTTATGAGTTGAAAATTTGAGTTCTCTTGTATAGTAAATTATATTTTCTTCTATAAATGAGAAAGGAAATGAAATCTACACTTATTAAACATCACATAGAAGTAGAACCGTTTATTGTATGCTGAAGTAACAATAATACTATATAACAATGCTTAAAACTCTTCATGAGTGCACACCAGAGACAGGTTAGTTCCAGTTTCAAACAAAGGTCTTTTATATATTCTTCTACAAGTCCCTAAGAAGTTAATTCCTTTAATGACACAGGAAGTAAAGGATTTAATCAAGAAAGTTTCTCAGCTATGTTTTAAAGTTAAAAGAAACTGAAATCTGAAAATAAAAGTATTTATACAGGACTGGCTTCAAACTGCTATTACATTTTTACTACAACTACTAGGTAAATTTACAAGAAGAGTCAACACTGATACTATCCACTAATATTTTTCATATTAAGCTGGATTTAAATGATTGTATTCAACAAGAGTGAAGACGTTTTTTTCTCAATTAAGAAAACATAAGGTTTTCTAGGCTTATTGCTGTGATTCGCATTTTAAGTGAAAATAAAACTGGAGAAGGAAATGCACTCTAAAATTAGAGTTTAGCCGGGTGCCGGTGGCTCATGCCTGTAATCCTAGCTACTCAGGAGGCTGAGATCTGAGGATCGAAGTTCAAAGCCAGCCTGGGCAGGAAAGTCCTTGAGACTCTTATCTACAATAAACCACCAGAAAACCGGAAGTGGTACTGCAGCTCAAGTGGTAGAGCACTAGCCTTGAGCTGGAGAGCTGAGGGATAGCGCTCAGGCCCAGAGTTCAAGCTCCGCGACCGACAAAAATAAAATAAAATAAAATTAGAGATTACTAAAAGAAAATTGTTGGTTACAATGCTTAGTTCCCTATTAAAAAAAAAAGCAACAACGAATACTATTCTTTGAACATGACCAATGCAATAATACTTAAAAAGTTCAGATAGTAAGTTAGTAGTTATGTATTCCAAATAACTATAATGACTCCAAAATGGACTACTTTTTGAAAATTTTGAGGTGGTAGTTTTACTATAACCTAAGTAAATAAGCAGAGAATTTTCAGGTTTAAAAACAGAATTGGCAACTAAATAAATGTGGTATATTTTCTACAAAGCTTATAAGAAATAGTCCAACCTTGTCCAACTTGGTAAACTAGAAAAGCCCAAACATAGTAGTTGAGAGGGTGGAGAATGCCTTAATATCAATGCACAGTTAGTTTTCATAGGCAACGTTTTTTACATCCCCCCAATAAAGAACTAGTCAACATTTTTAGAGACAGACCTGAGTGTAAAACTTGTCATTTTACCACGTTTCCTATTTAGGGGCACACTTATTGTTCACAGTCACAACAAGCCTGCCAAAAATAGAGAAAGTTTCAATCCTGTCTCTCTAAGAGGTACCAGCCACAAGTGCTGACTCTGAAGTCGTGACTCTGCAATTTGAACAAGTCTGTTCAGGACACTTAAAAAGTTGGCATCTTAGGTCCTCACAAACTATGAGGTCCTGGGCCCACTTGCTATTTAGTAATGCAAATAAGGTGATAAGAAGTTGTCAGCTCTCCAGGACCGGATAGAAGGCATATTTAACAGTGGAGAGCTGGGGTGTTGCGGAGAAAGGAACTTTCAGGAAAACCCCTTTCCCCAGAATGTGCCACAGCCTGATTTCAAGGGGCTTGTCTAGGGGAGACCTGGCCAAGTTAAGTTGCCGCTAATTTTTAAGGGGAAAACCCGAAAAAGTTGAGGAAGACACATGGCAGTAAAGTTGAGACTGTTTTCTACTCATTTGAGTGGGTCGGGGTGGGGGAAACACCAGGCACGGGTCCGGGGAGGAACTCCAGGGTCACAGGTTTATTCCCACGACCCCCGCCGGCTTCCGGCCCTAGGGGCTGGAGGAGGGAAGCACCACCCACTGGACGGCACCCCACCAGCCAAACCTGAGCGCTTGACCCGGGCTCTCCGCTCCAAGACCTCCCAGCTCACATCGGCCATAAGACCCGCGGGGCCAGCCATAGTACTTGGACTGCCTTCTCAGCCACCGCCCCGGGCCGACTAGCAGCACCGCCCGCCCGACCCCGCCCACCACCTCACGACACTGTCGTAAAGCGCCGGAAGTGAGCGCCCGCCAGCTTCACCCACAGCCTTCCTTTGATCTGAAGTCGGCTTCTCTCCCCCACATCCCCCCCCGCCGCCCCCCGCCGCCGCCGCCGCCGCCGCCCAGGCTGAGTGACTGGGAGGCCGACTGCGACTCCTTGGAGCTTCGAGGCGGAGGGCTTCCTCGCTCCGCCGCCTGACGGTGCTTTGCGGCAGTCGTCAAGCGTGACTCTGGGCGGTGGGCGGGGGCCGAGGGGCTGCCATGGCGGTGGCGAGCCGGCACCGGAGCTCCTGGGCTCTCTGGGCGCTGCTCTTCGCGGGGCTCGCGCTGTTCGGGGTCGGGCCGACCCCGGCCCGGGCGCTGCACAACGTCACGGCCGAGCTCTTTGGAGCTGAGGCCTGGGGCACCCTGGCGGCCTTCGGGGACCTCAACTCAGACAAGCAGACGGACCTCTTCGTGCTGCGGGAAAGTCAGTGCTCGCCGGGCCCTCCCCTGTCCACTCTCGTGTGCCCCTCCTGGTGTACCCCACACTCCCCGTCCCGACCTCCCGGTGTACCCCCACACTCCCGTCCCGATGGACCCTCCGGTGCACTCCACACTCCGCGCCCCAACACCAGCTATCTAGCATTTCCCACCCCCAGCCCTTGGGCCTTCCCTTTCCCTCCAGCATCCTTGACACCTGCTCATTCCATTTTCCATCCTCAGGTTCTGACCTGACCAGCCCACCGCTTGACCTGTCTTCACAGAGCCCTCGCAACACCTGGCTTTCCCACCCCCAAGAAGTCTGTGGCTTTCATCCCCATTTCTCCTGCCTCCCCAAAATCCTTCCTGATCACCAGGAGTCTTTGTAGGTGGCATTTGCATTCTTTCCAAATGTCACTTTCAGTTCCTTTCCGCTTTATTTCAATCTTCCTTCCCCTTTAATGAACAGGAAAATATACAAGTTGCGTTTCTTCTCATAGGAAATTTCTCTTTCTCTTCCTATTTACCTAATTCAACCGCCCTTCCTTTGGTTAAGGTGCCAGTTTTCTTTGAAGTTACATTCTCCCAAGAGCTCAAACAAATCACAATTCACAGAAGCATTTTTCAGGGACTACTCAGAAAAGTAGTACCCCAAACTCCAAACACTTCCCATCACAAGCTTGATCAGTCTTTGATGTACACTTGGTCCTTCCTCACGTTGATAACTACAATATTGTTCCAGATCTTTTCATTGTTTGGCAGCTTTTGATTCTTGGATGTTCTTTGCTTGAAACGAATATTACTACTTATTTCATAAGTAGTGACAGTGAATATTAAGGGGGTCGTTCTGTAGTACCCACCATAGCAAGTGTTGTTTAAAATTCAGTGCCATGAAGAAGTTGAGAGCTAATACAGAGCTTGACAGAATCCTGATGCGAACTTTTGGGGGCCCTTTCCAGCACCTTATGGATCCTGGATGTTCTCCCAATCGTTGAATGGTTCCTCATGTTGCAAGAATGGTGCATACTGTCAAAACTATAACTACACCAACAAAACTGGGTACAGGAGAGCCTTGACTTTATAGTCAACTTACATTTTATTAAGTGATCTTAAAACTGCCCAGCGAAGTGTTAATTGAATTCCAAGAATGCATCCACCTGGGAGGTAGTTCCATGAAAGCCATAGAAGGAGATAATCAAAAATTGAGCTCTTTTTGCTTACATTTTTAAACATGTCCTTGTTACTTGCCAGATACCTACAAAGGGAATTCCTGTGTCCTTGGGTGTGATGCATCTGTATGATAAACTGAATAAGAATAAATGGACCAACATGGTTGGATTTGCGGGCTTAAGACTGGACATACAGTACAGAATAAGGGTTATTTTTTGTGGTGCTGAGGATTGAATTCAGGGCTTGCCACAGGAGATTATAGTTTTAAGGTACATTTTAAGTATTTAGTTTAGTTCATCTGATGTGGCAAAATGCTTCAGTTTGTCTTAATCAAATTTTTCCAAGGTTATCCTTTCTCTCCTGCTTCAAACATTGAATTTTTGCTATACTTGTAGGCTCCATTCTATTGGATTAGCATGACTATCCTTGAGGGAGTAGATAAATTATAATAGAATAAAAGCTTTCTTCTTGAAGACAGTTCACAGAAAACACAACCACCAATTAGATATTTTACCAGGAAACAATTTTCTCATTTGCTTTATTTGCTTCTTTTAGGAAATGAGTTAATGATCTTTTTGGCAGACCAGAATGCACCCTATTTTAAACCTAAAGTGCATCTATCCTTACAGTAAGTAAAAATATTTATTTTTTATAAAACATTAGGCATTAGCCTAATAGGGATTTACAATAGCTTTATTGTTTTGAAATCTGACTTTACTAATCTGTGGTGTTGTGACACTGACTTCCTAGTTATGAGATGGGAGTAGTAAATATATTGTTAGAAAAGTAGTAAAAGTGCCAGTGTTTAAAAATAATTTTTTAATGAATGAATATGAGTGAACTCATTTGTTGTTGTTCAAGCATCTTTCATTTCTTTGCAGTCAAATATGCTATCTTGACAGTGTTGAGAAGTGTCTCTCAGACTGAGTGTAAACATGTTAAACATATTTACACGTGAGGGAAAGGAGAATGTGTTTGCAGTAGGGAAGAGTCAATGAGCTCTGTCTTAATTTTTGTTTCTTTTTTGTTATTGTGGGTACTGAGTCTTAAACTCGGAGCTTCTCATTCACTTGGCTGGCTTGCTCATATTCTGCGCTCTGCCATTTGAGCTAGCCCTTCAGTAGCTGTTTGCTATTTAACTGGAGGAGATACGTTCAGATTTTTTCTATTGCAACTGGCTTTGAACTGCAATTCTAAGGCCTTCAGCCACCTGAATAGCTAGGATTAAAAGTGGAGCCTTGAAATTATATGAAGTTTTAAAATGCTGTTCAAGTAGTAGCTCTTGATTTTCTTTTTGAATGTTGGCATTGCATGAGACAGTGACCCCAATAACAATGAGCTGGCATGATTTTGAAACCATAAGAAGCAAAGGCTGAACGTGGTCTAAATTAAGGAAGAGATGAATAAGTGCAAGCCAAATTAGTAGACTGTAGGGGGAATTTGGCCATAGTGTGAGTTAAATTTAGGAAAGAGGGTTCAAATATGGGGACAGCATTTCCAAATAGAACAATAAAAATGGCATGATGTGAAGCGAAGAATGGAAAGATTTATCTGACAGAAAAGGTAGCTACACTTTGGAGAGTTATGGGTTCTGTGGAGAGGGAATTAGGAAAAACTAGCATCCTTTCTAAATAGTATAAAGCAATCAAACTCAAACCTGAGGGTTCAATCCTGAGAGGGAAATCACTGCAAGTTCTTGTGCAAAGAACAAATGCAAAAGTAGTCTTTTAAACTGATTTACTTTTCAACTGTATATATGATGAATTACTATGAAGATTAGGGACTACCTAGGAAACTATTTTTTTTATCCATACGTGGATTAATTAGGGTTCAAATACATCAGTATTGTGAAACAAAAACACATGTTTAAAAGTTGGCATTTCTGGACATCAGTAGCTCAGAGCTATAATCCTCGCTATTCAGGAAACTGAGATCTAAGGTTTGCAGTTCAAAGCCAGCCCTGGCAGGAAAGTCCATGAGACTCTCCAGTTAACCACCAGAAAACTGGAAATCGTGCTGTGGCTCAAGTGCTAGAGCACTCATCTTGAGCGGAAGAGCTGAGGGACAACACCCAGGTCCAGAGTTCAAGCCCTAGGACCGATCCCTCCCACCCCCCCCCCTTGTTCAATGACATTGAAGGAGAACAGGTATGGTGGCCAGCACTTGTTTCCCAGCTGCTCAGGAGATGGAAGCAGGAGGATCTCCATTCAAAGACAATACTAGTTTTGAGATTCTGTTTTAAAAACAAGATAGAATTAGTTGTTGTTAAAAGCATAACTCAAATGATAGAGCCTTGTGTAGCATGTGCACAGTCCTGCTTACAATCCCCATTCTGTAAAATAGGAAAATAAATAAAAGACATAAAACTAGAGTTATAGTTCAAGATAGAATGGGTAAGGTTTTAGGTTTACATACCAGCACCACCAAAAGAGTTGAGATCTGCGTATGATCTGATTATCTCAATTCAAAACCAACCAAAGCATAAAAGTCCCTAGATTCCTATCTTCAGTTAACCAGTGGCTCCAATGGTAGAGCACCAAACATGAATGAAAAGGTCCTCAAAGCCTGAGTTCAAGCCCTGTTACCAACACAAAAATTAAAAAATGGAATGCTAATAAATATTTTAGCATATTATCCTGTGTCAACAATTTTGAAGTAAGAAAGAAACAGAACAAGGTAAATTACATAGAAGAAATGACTGATTAGAAATGATTGTTTTAGAACATTAGAAGTGTAAATTCTGACTCTACATTAAAAACAAAATTAAATATTTTATGAATTATATATTTTAATAAAGTCAAAATGATACTCATTTTAGCACTTATTTATGACCTCTTGACATGTTGATAACAGTACTTGACAACTGCTTAAACATAAATAAGTTTTGTTTCAGTTTATTCCAGATTTATCATGTTTTCTAAAATTAGTCTGCGTTTATTCTGAGCTTTTTTATAGACTAGAGAAATATACATACCTGAATGGTGATAAGATTTATGGAAAGAGTTGTCAATTATATGAGAATTAAATTTTGCATTGAAAATATTTTCTATCATAGAAATATGGAGATGTACTTTCTTCTTAATGATTCATCTAATATTTGTAACTACTTGTTTTTGTAGGAATTACAGTACATTGATAACAAGTGTGGTTCCTGGGGATTATGATGGAGATTCACAAATGGATGTCCTTCTAACATATTTTCCCCAAAATCATGCCAACAATGAATTAGGAGCTATTATCTTCTGGGGACAAAATCAAACATTAGGTGAAGTGTTTAAGATTTTTTTTTAATATTTATCATTAGCTGTGAAAGGACAAAATATGGATAATGTTTAACAGATATTCTTAGAAAAGTATGACAAAATATTGTCTGAAATTAGTTCAGAATTCTATTTTATGTTTCTGTAATTGTAAATCTTTCTAAAAAGTCATTTTCTGATTTTCCTTCTTCAGCCTAGACGTAGTCTAAGGGCAGTTCAAGATAACAATATCTCCTCTTTGTTAACATTGAAACAGGGAGGAATTATTAGTGTTTTCCTGGCTTTTCAGATTGGAGAGATTATTAAAAAAAGGAACCCTAGGTTCAAGAACAATCCCTCTCTGCTGTCAAGAAATCTACTGTGTCCTTTAGTTCCCTAAAGTGGCCACTTGCACAATAACTGCCAGAATTCTTATCAATAAAATGGATGAACACTTGACCACTTAATACTTGCAAATTTATTGAGCAGACATGGAGCTAGCTACTACTAACAGATCAGCTTTCCATGTCTTCAGAACTCTGTGTACCTGATTGGCAAGGCTTGATTTCATTAAGCATTTCAGATACAGGAATATCTTTTTGGTTTCTAGTCTTCCCTGTATAGGAAAACTAAAAAATATATGGAGATTGAGAGATTTATCTGTCTTCCATATTTAACCATGTACTTTCAAGTGTTATCATAAAGACCAATTAATATTATCTAGACAACTTTATTTATGGAGTCAGACATAGAAGGAAGACAAATGTAGTTAGCTGTGTTTTCTGTTAAATTTGGGAATATAGGAAGTAATCTCAACATTTAAATCCAATATGCCAGAAAGTGTTTAAAAGAGTACTGTGTGAAAAATGCTGCTTGAATGCAAAGCTTACTTCTTTGTCTATACCAAAACCTTATTAGTTGTTAACTACTCTAATAATAAAATTATATAAAGAAGATTCAGATGAAGAAATTATTGGGAACCTCAAAAAGATCTTTACATGCTTATCTTCTCTGTAGAATGAGATCTACCAGTATTAATATTAGAATTGTGTCTCAGTATAACAGTTAAAATAAATCAGAGATGAATCTTGTAAAGAATAAAAGAATTATTTCCCCTAAGGGCAGATAACAAAATTAATGTAAAACCCTGCTAATTTATATTTATTTCTTCTCTATTTACAGATTCTAACAATATGACTATACTCAATAGGACTTTCCAAGATCAACCACTAATTATGGAGTAAGTGTGTACTTGATTTCCTTGGAATGATTTTAAACTTGCAAACCTAAAATCTTCTTACATAGGAAGCTCCTCTAGTAAATATTGGCAATGACTTTACTCCATAAAGCTGATAATGACTTATGCTCCATAGTGGATGAAAGAAAAAAACTTTATTTAAAAAAAGGAAATATTTGTGTTTTTGTTTGATTAGATTCAAATGTGACCATTATGGATCTGTGGTGATATCATTGCACAAAGTCATATCATTGCACAAAGAAATTTTTCAACAAATCTCTTAGTATTTAATGAACAGGGATGAATAATAAAGGGTTTCCTCTACAAGTATAGGAAGATTTCTTTATTAAAGGGAAATATTTGTCTTCTTTTCATAACCCTTTGTGTTATAATTTATTTCCTCATAATCCAAATGCAAACTTCTGACGAGGCATTTTGGTAATGCCATAAAGATCATTCGTGGAACTAAAACAAAGAAAATAAGTTACATTCTTCTTTCCAATAATGCCTTTCTTACAGATACTAAAATTAGTCATGTATCAATAGGTCACTAGCCACCAAAATCTGAATTTATATTCAGGGATTAGTCTTAACCTGCTTAGCTTAGTTTCTTTCATAGTTCAACCAGTGAGGGCTTCTTTTCCTCAGTTATTTCTCTCTAAATTAAGTTTGTAGGTATTTCTGCCATTTCTTCATGGTTTGCTTGATTATGCAGAGGTTACAACCTCATAATCTTGTAATCAAAATTTATTCCTTTTCATCTCTATAGTATGTTCTGTTTAGTGCTAGTCTAGCAGTAGGCTTTGCTTAATGCTGTTGCCCATAAAGTCAGGCTATCAGAGACTGCTGCCTTTGTAGAAGATAGCAATCCCAGATTCTGTGTTCTTACCATTGATGCAACAGGCTTAGTGAGGGCTGGTGAGTCCAGGGACAGAAATAAAATACTTTGGCCTGGAAGTGACAGATGGCATTTCTGCTGCCAGTTCATTGACTACAAATAGATTCTGGTGAACCTTGTGAACTTTGCCACCCTTCCTCAATTTATAAATGATTTTTTAATACAAGGTCTACTAAATATTTTAAATGTTATCTTTTCAGCTTTAATGGTGACCTAATTCCTGATGTGTTTGGTATCACTAATGAATCCAGCCAGCCACAGATACTATTAGGAGGGTGAGTAAACATAATGCTCATGTAATTAGTTGTATGCATTGTTGGAGCTGAAGTGACAATGTGTCTCAGTGATTGATTTATCTAGTGGAGAAAAACCAGCTTCTGGAACTTCTAGGTTTTACAATTTTCAAGTAATATTTGGTCAATGTGTAAGATGTCTCAAAAAATTTGGATTTCATATGTAACCAATTTCTGTTTAGCTCTAGTTTAGTATTTTCCTTCCTCCTGGAAATCAGAGATCAATATTTATTAAGTATTGGTTCAATAGATGTTTTTGGAAATGGTAGTGTTTAAATAAGATAAATAGCTGCAAGAGGAACCAGATGAATGGTCAGAAGGAACACCATGTCACTCTACTACAGCTACAGCAATATGGGACTGATGATGAAAATCTGCCCATTCTGCTATTCAAATTTAAACATGTGATGTGATATTGACTGGATAGTTAGATGATAGACAGATAGATAGATGTCCTTGTGGGGATAAGCATTAATATGATACTAAAATAATAAAATACATTTAGGCAATATGTTGTTCAGTTTTCAATACCACTGAGGAAGAACCTGAAATAATGAAAAAGAGGAAAAGTTTATTTTGCCCTAAAGTTCCAGAGTTTTTTCTGTGATGGGTTGGCTCCATTGTCAATATGTAGGAGAGCAAAGCTGTTTACACCACGGTATGCAAGAGGTAGCTTTGACCACATAGTCTTTGAAGGGTTAACTTAATTGACTTAAGATTCCCTAATGATTTATCATATGGCCTTGTTTTAAATTATCATTGATACTTCAATGGAATTTTGTTTACATCTAAGTGTATTTCTCTATATTATTTGCCTTGCTTTTATGTAAATCTTAATTTTTGATATATATTTGTAGTGATCACTTAGATATCACCTTCTTTGGAAGCATAATTTTGTAATTACTGCTATCAAAGAAATTTGATAATAACATTTCACTATATACTTTAAATTTATCATATTTCTATAAGTAGATATTAAATTTGTATTTCTTTTTTTGAAAGGAAACCATTTTATGTCATTTTTTCATTATAGTTTACGTATTGCAAAAAGCCATTTTAAAATTAGTATAACATAATGGCCCAATCCTGTAATCCTAACTACCTAAGAGGCTGAGGAAAGTTCAAAGGCAACCTCGGCCACTTAAGGAGATGGAATTTCAAAAGGAAAAAAAAAAAACCCACAACTATTATAGTTCTAAGAACCACATATGCAGCAGTCTTTGAGTAAGGTTAGCATATATTGCAGTGCAACTCAATATGCTAAGGCAGGGTGATTGCTTTAGCCTAGCAGTTTGAGTACAGGCTGGACAGCATATCAACAGCCAGTCTCAAAAAAAAAAAAAGAATTTCAAGATGAAATAAAATGCATCAGAATCAGGATCCTATATAATTTCTTAAAGCACAGACCTCTGGCATTATATTTCTATTGCATTTTTAACATTTTGATGGTACTGACGTTTTGGAGTCAGGCCATTACACTTGCTAGGTAGATACTCTATCACCAAAGTCATGCCCCAGCACTGGGTGCTTTCATTATTTTTTAATAACATTATTTGTGCCACCCACTACACAGTGGTTTTATTAGTTGAGTTGGGCTCTTACCAAAATTTTGACCAGGTTTTCCTTTAAACCATGATCCTCCTGATCTCTGCCTCTCAACTAACTAGAATTATTTTAAGAGTGAGCCATTGTACCTCTACCCTATTGCATTTGTAAAAACATTGGTGTACTATTGGAAATACTTGATTTTTAAGGTTGTGGAGGTGTATACTTAGTTCTAGTTTCTGAATGAGTACTAAGAGGAGCTGTGAGTTCAACTATGAGGCACAAATTTTTTTCACACTGCCTTTTTCTATTGTTTATGCTTTCCCTAAAAGCCAGTGTTAGTAGGCATATTTCTTCATTGTATCAGTGTACACTGTATACTCATGTACTAGTACTGTTGCATATCCTGTGGAGTAGGAATATGGGTACAAATAAAGGATATGACGGAAATAATGTCTACATTTTTTCTTATGAATATAGGACATTATTGCCAAGAGGTCCTTAAGAGTTATCTGGTGTCATACATTTACGTTCTAAACTAATAGACCTTTTAGTTCTTCTTTCTCTCATGTGTATGTCTTAGAAGATAAAGCTAGCTGCAAAAGCAGGCATTTTGGTCTAGACTGAGATACTCTAAACTCAGATGTGTAAGAGTAAGTTTGTAAATGACAGTTTTTGTTTTAATGACTTTGCCTCTTTCATCCCTAACTATTGTCAAAAAATTCATTATTGTTGAGAGAGAGGCTTGGGAGAACAAAGAAACACCAATTCCAAAAAGTTTATCTTTCAGCTACTCTTAGTACTCAATCCCTAGGACACATCATTAACTAGAAAGGCACCTTTCGTGCCAAAGTACTTTTAGACAATGGCACTGATTGTTTTAGATATGATTGGATGGTTGTATATGACTATTAAAACAATATAGATGAAATTGTATGTAATTTCTTTCCTATTTGATAGCCATTTTTAATAAAAATAGTATCATGTCTTATCAGATCATATCAGAAATACCATTTAAAGTAAGCATCTTATTCTACCTTAGGAAAGCTTATATTTACTACTTTCTGTATCCTACTAATAAATAAACTTACATGATAGTTTCAGAGCCAAATAATTTTTTACAGTATATATTTTCTTTCATTGAATTTTAGGAAAATTTTGTGTTTAATAAAATTTTGAAAAATGGTGTTAAATCTGATTTTTATATTTACTCTGTAAGCTAAATCTCAGAGTTCAATATACAGAGGCATTTTTGAAGACCTTCTATGTCTTTTATCATATTTTAGCTATATTGCCTTGCTGAAAGTTAACAAATGATCAATGACCTTAGTGTTTTATTATTCTTTGTTGTTGTTGTTGTTCTTTTTTTTTTTGTCAGTCATGGGGCTTGAACTCTGGGCATAGACACTGTTCCTCAGTTCCTCACTCCAAGGCTAGCACTCTACCACTTCAGCTATAGTGCTATTTCCAATTTTCTGGAGGTTTATTGGAGATAACAGTCTCACAAACATTCCTACCCTTTGAACTGTGATCCTCAGATCTCAGCCTCCTGAGTAGCTTAGATTACAGGCATGAGCCACCAGTGCCCAGCTTTAGTATCCTGTTTTTATAACCTATTTTATTAAAAGGGATAAATTAATTTGTCAGAGTTTCTTTGTTTCATTCTTTACTGCTTTCAGTAATGTGTCCTACAAAATATATTCTGTAATTTCTAAACAGTTTTATAATATTCACAGCAGTTATTTGAATGGGAGAAATGAGGTATCTTTTTGCAAAAAATAAAAGTTTCATTTGGAAATTGGTTTGATATTAAAGTCTTGCTTTTCTAATTGAGTTATATGGTAGGTTCCCCACCTAAAATGACTGAGCTATATCTGCAGCTCAGAATTTGTTTTTCTTTCAAACTTTTTACTGTGAACATTTCAAACATTCAGTAAGAGCAGAGAAAATGAAACAGTGGATTTACATGTCATATATCTGTCACCCAGCCTTAACAGTTAACAATTCATAGCCAGTTAATGTTTTATTTACATCTTTTTCTTCTTTTTATCTATGCTTATATGCCCTCCCCCTACATTACTGAAACTGTATTGAAAACAGGTATGATAAAGGAACATTATTATATAATATTGGAAAATATGTAATAAAATGTTTTCCTCTACTGTTTCTTAGTATATGAGGTTAAGTGAGGTGCCTCTAAAGTAAGTGAAGAATATTGGTATATTTCCAAGTGACATGATGAGTCTTGATAATGCCTTCAGTGTGCTTCTTAAAAATGGAAAAAATAAGTAGTACCATTTTACAAATCAAAGCTTTCTAGTTATTTGCACTCAATAGCCTAATGGAAAACCTAATGGATAGAGCACTAGCAGTTGTTTTTGGTAGTAGCTAAAATATTTTGGAAGTATGACTATCAGAAGGTTGAAAGAATTGAGTGATTATATTAATAAGAGCTCTTTCATACCAATCTGCCTATTTATATGAAGAGCTTTTTTAACATTTATAACTATTCAAATGAAAAGTAGATGTTGACATTATGCCAAATTGACATTTTGACAGGTAAATAAAGCTAAAAATATTTCAAAGCTCCATTCCTTTCTTTTAAGTGATTCCTAATAATTTTTTCCTCTGATTTAATGTAATCAAATTATATAATATATGATATTATCAGTGATATAACAGTATTTAAAATTCAATCTTAGAAATTTTATTAAATACTGAGATCCTCAAACAAAATGAAGTTGAATAATAATTTCAAGTTCTGGATATCATAGACATATCACTCTTTGTACAGTTATGCTAGAGTCATCACTAAAAAGACTTTAGAGTTAAAAAAAAAAAAGATTACATCATGACATAGTTCTCCAAGAAAAGAATTAATGAAAGTACAAGTTTAAGTACTAGAAAGAAGATGTATTTTCCCAGTATTAAAGAAGACTTTTTTCATTCATTTTAGAAGTTTGTTTGGATTTTTCATGAATGGCAATTGGTACATAATGGTCCACAAAATTATGCCATGGAATGCATTTTTATAAGTAATCCCTTTATTTTAAAAGTTCAGGAAATTTAATTGAGTCAAAGTTTACATATTTTGTAGCAATCTAAAATGATGAATACTTTTAGGTTTTCTTGGAAATTGACTTAAATGTGTTAGGAGATGAATCATTTTTTTAAAAGTTTAGAGTTTAATCTGAGCAAAATTGTTGAAGCTAAACTAGGAGCAGATGCTTCTTCATTCCATACCAATCTCCTTGTATCTACTTTTACCAAATGTCTTAATAGTGATAATTCCCAAGTCTCTGAGCTTTTTTGATCAAAGCTAGCATTCTACAACTTGAGCTACACATACATTTCTTGGCCTTTTGGTGGTTAATTGGAGATAAGTGTCTCAGGGATGTTCCTGCCCAGGGCCTAGCCTGGTTTCAAACCATGGATCTCAGCCTGCTGAGCAGCTAGGATTACTGGTGGGAGCCACAGATACCCAGCTAGAAATCCACTTTTATGTGAAATCCGATGACTTTTTTCATCAAGATTCTTAAAGGAATATATGGGCCAATAAAAGAAGTATTTTTTCTAATTTGGGCCATTGCTATCAATTTATTACTTTTTTCTGTATTACTGCCTTATAAACAGTATTTTTTCTTTTAATATACATTTGATTAAATTGATACTAGGACCAAAAAATTTTACAACTTTGTCCAGTTTTTTTTAAATATTCTAGCTTTATAACTTATTTCAATGTATGCTTGTTAAAATGTTTATAGACTATTCAGGTCTTAACATACCTGTATGACAAACGACATTGAGCCCAATTCCACTTTGGTTTGTGCCATTACTGGGTCTTGAATTCAGTCTAGAATCCATCTAGAACTCTTGTTCTCTCAACTTTTTCACCCACAGCTAACACTATGTTACTTTATCTACATCCTCAGTTCTGAATTTTGCTGATTAATTGGCTATAAGAGCCTCTCAGATTTGGCTGTCTTTGAACCTCTCAGATCTCAGCCTTTCGAACAGCTAGTCTTTAAAAATAAGTTCGGATGAAACTTGTGAAAAAAATCAAGCTTTTATTATGTGTTAGCAATGAAAATATTTTAATACTTAGAAATTCTAGGACCAATGAATAATGTAAAATGAAGTACATCAGCCACTATTGAGTTGTACTTAATTAGAATTACTTTAAAGATTTAACACTTATGTAACATTGAAAGAGCAGTAATTAAGCAAGTTCTTTGGTGTGAAATACAATATGCTAATGTAATTTCTTGGTTTATTTTAATATTTTTTACTTACTCCTACATTATAGAGTTTTGTTTAAAATGAATTGTGTGTATACTGGTTGGTTTTGATTTGGTTTCATCTAGATTAAAGTGTATTTAAGCCAGATATATTCTAAACTAAGTGTTAAGATTTTTGGGAAATGGTTACTTTTTGGACTACACTGGTACTCTTGTATAAAGGAAATTTTCTCTCTATGAGTAGGTATTGTTTTCCCTTGATTCCTTCCAAGAAAAATTAGCCCATTTTAGTTCTTGCTTTCTGAAGACATCAAAATCGAATCCACAGATAAAACCTTGTTTATTATCTACTAAATTAACTGTGTTGACAAATAACTTGAACTTTAGTAGCCTTTAATTTCACCTTGTAATGGCCTATATATCTTTCTGTCTTGGAAGGGAACATAGTATTATGAAAAAAAATTGGGAATTCTAACAAGCAGAGAATAGGAAATCTCAGTTATTTGCTATCTGCTTCATAGGTCCTGGTTAGGCTAAAGTTAATACAAATAACCGAGTCTGTGTTTCTGGAGAAGCTTTGCTGCATCAAAGAGGATGTTCTTCAGGCAACTTTTATGGAAGCTAAAATGCTGTTAGTTGAGAAAAGTGTAGTAAGAAAAGAGGATAGAAAACCTTGGGCAATTAGGTGAGAATTGCCTTTAACACTGAGGTGTTCTTATCTGATTACAGTTCTTAACCATTACAGTGGAATGATTTTCACTTATTCAATTTTGTTTAACTGGTAGTAGTCTCCCTGTATTATGTTCTGTTTACCATAATGTTATATTATTGTTGTATTTAATGTTAACATTAGAGCAAACTGAATAATAGATACATAGATCATTTAGAGGAAAGTGAATGGTAGAGACATAGTTGACAAAATATTTTTAATGTGATAAAGGTCACAATGTAAAACTCTCCATTGTGCTTATTAGTGAGACCTCAATTAAAATAGAGATACTGTGTATAGTTTTATTTAGTATTTATAATATGGTTTATATTTTAACTCTAACTAGTCCAAATATCTTTTCATCTCTCCAATGGGAAACCCTGTATATCAATTAAACAGCCAATCTTCTTCCCATCAGACCATGACAAGAACTTTGTAAACAAGTGTTATATAATATTGTCTACAGAATGGTGACAAGATAAAAATCTGTGATTTTTCAGAACAGATGCAGTTTATTTCTCCAGTATTTCCAATCTGCAATAGGTTGAATTTAAGGATGTGGAAGCCACAGATTCCAAGGGTCATTTCCAAAATATCAACTGACTATCCATAAAATGACTAGCCATTAATACTTTATATTACTAAGGATAGAGAAAATATTAACTCAAAATAGATGAGAAATCTAAAACTGTAAGTCTCTCAGAAGTAACCACAGGAGAAAATCTTAATAATCATAATTGGCAATGGATGTTACATACTCTGTCTCTCTCTCTTTTTTTTTCTCTCTCTCTCTCTCACACACACACACACACACCAAGAAATAAAGGAAAAATAGATAAACTTTCAATTAGATAAAATTTCAATCAAAATTGTAAAACTTTGGACATGAAAGGACACAATAAAATGAAATTAGTTAAAAAATTTGTTCCTTAACTATCAATAGGTAGACATTTTTTCTATCTATTTATATAGTGGTAGACATTTGTGATATTTTTGATGTTTAGTGAAGTATGGGTTTAAATCCATTCTTTATCCAAAATGTTGGAATTTATGTTTATTAAAGAGGATCACTTACTGAAATATAAGAATAAGATACATGAAATTATGTCATCCTACATTCTCTACTTAATCATTTTATAGCCATGTTTCCTTTGTTAATTTAAAGTCACGTTTTTATTTAAAAAAAGAATTACTGTCATTCTCTACAGACTAACACATGTTTATTATCAATTTCTTTGTTATTCTTTAAAAACATGAAAGACAGTGTTGGGAAGGTGGCTCAGTGGTAGTGTGCTTGCCTTGCATGCATGAGGCCTTAGATTTGATTCCTCAGTACCATATAAGCAGAAAAAAGCCAGAAGTGGTGCTATGGCTCAAGTGGAAGAGCACTGGACTTGAGCTGAAGTTACTCAGGGACAGCACCCAGGCCTAGAGTTCAGACCCCATGACCGACACACACACCAAAAAAAAAAAAAAAAAAAAATCAAAGACAAATAAAAATGTAGCATTCTAGAAGAGAGCTGGTAAATCTTCATGACCTTGCATTAAATAATTAATCATTGAGTACAATACCAAAATAATAAGTAACACAGCAAAAAATGAATTGCACTTTAAAAATAGTTTTTTTAACATTTACCATCAAAAACCAAATGACAAGCCAAAGACTGGAAGAAAATACTTAAAGAACTCTTTTAACTCCAGAATGAAGCTAGCTGGATGCTGGTGGTTCACACCTATAATCCTAATTACTCAGGAGGTTCAGACTGAAGATCACTGTTTAAAGCCACCTTGTCAAGAAAGTCCATGGGACTCTTAATATCCAATTACAAGTCAAAAGTGGAGCAGTTGCTCAATTGGTAGAGTGCTGGCTTTGAGCAAAAAAGCTCAGGGACAACACCCAAGCCCTGAGTTGAAGCCCCAACACTGGAAAAAAAGAAAAAGAATAAAACAATAAATCTAAAAGTGGGCAAAGGATTCGAGAAGACATTTCTCTATTGAAGATATATGAGTAAGAAACATATGGTAATTACTCATTTTCACTAGTCTTCAGGAAAATGCAAATAAAACCCTTTGTCAATACTATATTAACACAAATGTACAATAATGAATATTGATAAAGATAAGAAAATACTGGAACCTGCATGCCTTGCTAGAAAGAATGTAAGATAATGGAAATACTTTGGAAAATGGCTTACTATTTCACCCAAAAGATAAACATATAGTTTCCTTATGAACCCACAATTTCACTCATAGATCTATACAAATAAAAATTGAAAATAACTGGTACAAGTTACTCCCACCTGTAATCCTTCCTAGCTATTCAGGAAGCTGAGATCTAAGAATCAAGGTTTGAAACCAGTCCACGCAGGAAAGTCCATGAGACACTTATCTCACCAAAAAGTCAGAAGTAGAGCTGTGGCTCAAGTGATAGAGCATTAGCCTTGAGTAACACATTCAGGAACAATGCCCAAGTCCTGTGTTCAAGCCCCATGACTTGCACAGAAAAGAAAAGAAGAGAAGAGAAACAATAACAACAAAAACGTGTATCCACATGAAAACTTATCCATGAGTATTCACAGAAAAAAAAAGTGGAAACAAGGCAAAGTCTGTCAACAGGCAAACAATATATTGGCATATAATACCATACATTATTCCAGGATATAAAGAATGAAGCATTGATACATGCTGACATGGGTAACTTGAAAACATTTCTAAATGAGAGGTGTCAGACAAAAAATGCCACATGTTGTATGATTCCATTTAGATGAAGTGTCCTCATTAGGAAACTGTAGAAATAGCAGCTTACTACAAGGAAGAGAATGAGTTCTGATTAATGACTATGGGTTCCCTTTTTGAGGTGATGAGCATGTTTTGGACTTTGATAGTGATGATAGATATACACTGTGAATGTATAAAAACCCACTGAATTCCATAAAATAAAATGAAATTTTATGGTTTATGAAATGTATCTTTAAAATTAGGACAAATATTTAAATATTTTATATGCAGATATTTTGTAACAAAACTTGTTTTATATTTACCGAAACAATTTTTTGGTATTTTAGAAATTTATCATGGCATCCTGCATTGACCACTAAAAGTAAAATGCGAATTCCACATTCTCATGCATTTATTGATCTGAATGAAGATTTTACAGCAGGTGAGTTGCACATATGTGAAATATTTGGTTGATCTGCCTAAGGATTATTGGATTTTATTGACTTTAAAGTTATGTCATACATGGGGTTAGGAGGCTCAGTGGTAGAGTGCTTGCCTTGCATGCATGAGGCCCTGGATTCAATTCCTTAGTACCACATAAACAGAAAAAAGCCGGAAGTAGCACTGTGGCTCAAGTAGGGTGCACGCCTTGAACTGAAGAGCTGAAGGACAGTGCCCAGGCCCAGAGTTCAGCCCCACAACCAAAAATCAAAAAATGTCCTACAAATTTATGAATTTTATTAACTTTTCACATATTCATATACTACACCATCCTGATCAAAATCTATTGGCCCTTCCCCCACCAAATGTCTTCCTCCTAAGTAGTGTATTGCTTGTTTGTTTGTATGTTGTGGGGCTTGAACTCAAGACCTGGGCACTGTCCCTGAGCCTCTTTGTGCTCACTCTACCACGTGAGCCACAGTGCCAATTCCAGTTTTTGAGTGGGTAATTGGAGATAAGAGTCTCATGGGGACTTCTCTGCCCAGGCTGGCTTCAAACCACTATCCTCAAATCTCATTCTCCTGAGTATCTAGGTTCACAGATGTGAACCACCAGTGCCTGGCTACTTGTTTGTATTTGTGGATCTAGATTCTGTATATGAGAGTACATATTATTTTAGCAGATATATTTGGGTTTGAGTCTGGCTTATTTGAGGTAACATAATGATCTCTAATGCCATCCACTTTTCTGCAAGTGACATTATTTTCATTCTTATTATGGCTAATACTCCATAGTGTATATATGCCACGTTTTCCTTATTCATTCATCAGTTGACGGGCACCTAGGCTGATTCCATAACTGCTATTGTTAATTATTCTGACTTATGTTCCTTTAGATGTATGTCTTGGGCTGGGGTAGTAGAACTGTGTGTGTGTGTGTGTGTGTGTGTGTGTGTGTGTGTGTGTGTGTGTGTGTGTGT